CGAAGGGTCCTGTCACGGCCTCTTTCCGGTATGTCGTGGTGGCATGTCGGCGCACGGGAACGTGTCGTGGGGCTGTGTCTTGTGGGTACAGTTGTACACCTCTGATCAGAGTAAAACTATTCGAATAGCCGTGCCCGCGGTTATGGGCGGTCGACCAGATTCACCGTGATTAGTCTCACACTTAATAAATCGACCTAATACACTGTAGTCCAGGTGGGTTGGTTGGGCCTGTTCAACGTGGTGTAGCGTTGATCAGTGGAGATTTAATGTTACTTTAATTACTCAACAGTTTTACTGTTTTGCTCAATAAAATGTTTTACAACCGCCTTTATGCAAATAGCCACAAACCATCCTTGTATCCCCTTGCACGTCTGCATCGTTGGTGTGGCTTGCTGAGTACGGTGGTTGTACTCAGCCTTGCTATTATTCCCCCTTTTCAGAAGTGTAGTGCTTCTGAGCTGAAGACGAAGTTAGAGGACCAAGGCTCAGACCCCAGTTGAGTTTTGCCTGTGGAGTGGAGCTGAAGCCCCGCTAGGATCGCCTTTTTCCGCTGCTGCTGTTTTCGTTTCGGTGCGAGGACTAAGTGCCTCTTTTGTAAGTATTTTACGCTTTATTTACGTTTGGAACTGTATATTACTTGTCGTTTTGTGTACCCTGGCTGGTCCTGGACAGGGATTTAATACACAAAATAGTCTGGAAATTTGGGCTAAATTTCTGGGCGTGACACACTCTCTCTCTCTCTGGCGAGCGGCGCACGGGGCGCGGTGGCGAGTGCCGCGCGAGGTGGACGACGGCGACGGGCGCGCGGGGTGGCCAACGACAACGGGCACGCAGGGTGGCCGACGTCCACCTCGCGCCAAATCCCATCTCCCTCCACCTGTCGTCTTCGCCGTGGGGTCGTCGTCTAGACTTTCTCCGCTCTCGGGGTCGTCGTCGTCGGCCATGGACGCGCGAGATCCTCCGCCGTCAGCCATGGATCCGCCGCCGTCGACCATGGACGCGCCTCCTCCACCGCGACGACCTCGCCGAGGGAGAGACCCCATGGAGAACGTCGTCACCGACAACTTTGCCGCTCCACCGCCGCGGCGGCTCAAGAACGGCCGCTCAACCTCGCCTTGGATTTCTGTGTTCTTGATTTTTCTTGTGTGATTTTGTGTCTCTTGATTTTTCTTTTGTGATTTTGTGTGACTCTTGTGTGATTCTTCTTGTAACGTCGCCGCTGCGATCTGTGTTCTTGATTTTGCGGACGAGAGTCGGAGGCAGGAAGAGGAGATTTTGCTATGGCGGGAGTGGATCTGGAGGGCGTATCGGGGATCACGCTTGGGTTTCGCTGGCGAGGTCACGTTGTGTCTGGGGCACGCGCTCCACACTGCGCGATTCCTTGCCGCGCGTGGGTTTGCAAGAGAAGGAACCGCGTGCCTCAGCTTGGGGGCGAGGCGCTCTGGTTGGACGCGAGCTCTCGCTCCATGTTCACACGAATCCAACGTGGAGGGGCGTAGCACCGGTCCAGCTCACCGCACTGTGACCGGCCGAATACACTCCACAGTCAAGCACAACATCCCACACGCACGCGTGTGCGTCCAACACATGTATCTATAGGCTTTGAGGACCTAAAGCCTCCTATGTGCGGGAAACACATAGTCCCATTGAACGCACTCACGTGTGTGTACCCTATACCTAATTAACTAAGATTGGACTATGCTAATCCAAGGGAAAAGGGGTTAAAACCCCGTGCGACACCCGGTCGATCCCAGGATCGAACGTGGGTGGTAGGCTAGCCACCGTTAGGCAGATTTACCACTGAGCCACAAGCTCATCCGCGGGAATGCTAATAATTCGTTAACGCTGGAAGATCATATTTCCACAATATTTGCAACATGATAGAAAACTATTTATCCTCATTCTTTGTTCCGTTAATATCTCCCAAAAAAATTTAGGTGCTCAATTAACTACTACTTAAATGATCTTTACGAACAGTCAAAACATATTTTTGCAAATAGCTGCGTGACCCGCATACCTCGAGGTGTCTGCGAAAATCGGTATTTTCCCAAACAGGTGGCCATAAAACCCTAGCTCCCATCCGTCCTAGCCATCATCATTGTCACTGCAGTCTGCCATTGTTGCCGAGGCCCCGCCACAAGCCCGCAGTCCGTTGTTGTCGCCGAGGCCTCGGTGCTCCCAAGGCCGACCCCGCCGTCATGGAGCCACATAATCGTTGCCCCGTCCCCGCTACGCCATATCAAGCTCCTCCACCACCGGCCCTCCCAACCCCTTCGCCGCCAGCGTTGGATCCGGCCATCGAGGGCTGGATACGCCCACCGCAGGGCTACAGACGCTACCTCAAGACCGTGCTGCTCCTCCAGTGTCGTCGTGGCCTCTCCCATCGCTGCCCCTTCAGTGTCGTTGTGGTTGCTTCCACCGCCATCGTCATGGCCGCTTTCGTCGCTCCTGGCGACAATCAGTAGAGGGAGGAGAGGGGAGTAGTGTGGAGTGAGGAGTGGGGTGAGAAAGAGTTTTTCTAAGAGAGGACATAAAATAAAAGAAGAGACTGGGTAGCTGGCCAAACGTGTCTCTTAACCGTCGCTTGTGAAATTTTGTTTATTTTTGTAAGCGGGCATGTTAAGAGGCCCTTATATAAAATTTGATTTTTGCATATGGGTCTTGTCCTTCTCCCGGACCAACATTATCACAGGCGAACGCCGGCATGGCCCACCTCAAGGCTGGAGGGGGGCTTGTCTACGAAAACTGTTTCTATAGTTATGTTTATTCCTCTAAATCCTCTCCAGTCAGATTATTTGGAATTAACTGAACAAACCCTTAGTAAGCAGCAACCACAATACCAACCGCTTATTCTGCTTGTTGTCTTACTGCAACCAAAATTTGAATTTTAAAACTTAAATTTAGAGTTTTTTTAATGTAGTTTATTTTTCTAGCCTTGGCTTTCAAACCGCTAATATATAAATATTTTACCCACAAATCTTGTTTAGGAAAAAAACTTTTACCTATAAACTATTTTTTTTCCTCAATTCAGTTTTTACTACAGTTTACCAGCCTTATCTCAACAGATCGAAACTAAGAAACCTGCTGTTTGCTAGCTGAAAATTGTTTGGCAAAAATGAATTTCACTAACAAGGATAAAGGATTCGAGCAGGAAAAGGCATTGCAAATATCGCAGGGAATCATGTATCTTTGGGAGAAGGCGATGCGCTTTGTGCAGATTATATTCCACCAGAGATCTCCCGCACCGGTGGCTCGAGGTCCCCGGCCCCTCATACAAGCGAAGGCACAACTGCATGCGCCACGCCATCACGAGAACACCAAGTTGCACCAGTTTCACGAGACAATCAGCTGGACACGAAGGCCTCCACGTCGTCATCTCATTCTCATCTCCCTGTAGAGTAGAGACCATGCTGCTTTTGGAGCTTTGGAGACGGAGTAAAATCTTCCATGGGCGCTGGAAAATCTCTCGTAATTCCATGGGCCTCGCGTACTGAACCTAGGAGCGAGATCATGCACAGGATGGACAGGACACAGGACCATGGATAAAGAAAAAGCATCACTTCATGGCAAAAGCTAAATTCCCTCTTCCAAGGACATGGGAGTTGGAGATGGTGAGATCCATTCGTTTTTTTGTTGGATGGTCCCACGGGTATTTTACTAGTCTGAATTTGTCTTTGTCAAAGTGTAGGTTGCATTTGGGGACGGGGAATCGCCAACACATAGTACATATTAGGTACACGTGTCTTCTACTTGGTCATAAATACATGATGTTTAGGATAGTATTTTATTGAAGTTTTGAAATTTTGATCATCAAGAACTTCTCAATATCGTTACAAAATTTATGTGTTTTCTATTTGGTACTCCATTTCAGTTAGATATTATCAGGAAGGATATGAGGATTTGTTCCATAAAAGTCCTTTTATTTATTCTTGTAGACTCATTGCCCCTATGTCTGTTGACAGAGGCCATAGATATGAACAATTTCTATTATTAAAAAAATAAATTCTTAAATGTTTAGTTAAATAAATGGTATGTGTATTTTTGAATACTCATAATTGTTAAATATAAAATTGATGACTAGAGTTTTAAACATTTTAGTCATACCCTTGAATGTCAAATATTTATATCCAGTGGGAGTATATACACCTACCTATTAAAATGTACATCTCTGCATTTCTTTTGAAATTGGTGAAAGTTAGAGCCAAAATCTATGGCTTGAATCTGGTAGGCAGAGTACACACTCACACTCAACAGTCCTAATCATCTGAATCCGGTTTCTTCCACAAATAACCGATGCAGATACACGGCAATTATTCTCCACATGCTTTTGTAGAATTTGAAGTAAACAACTTGTATTATACCCTTCGCAGGAGTACATGCAACTCCCATTTGGCTTCCCTTATACGAAGGACCTCTGTTGTCCCCTCCCTACAATGTAAATTCTCTTTCTCACGTGAGTCAGCAAGATTTCCTTTAGTGTTCATTGCTGGACAATAATAATGCACAGGGCGCCAATGCTGGCATCAACTTCTGTGGTAACTTACATAGTTACATGCAATTGCACAATGTTGCTAGTAATTACAGTATATCACTTTTAAGTTATCTGTTAGACCTTGAACCAAGTGTGTCCCTCAAAGCAATGGTCCTATTGTCATAAGGCAGCACCGAGGGGCAAAACATATTTTCAGTTTTCAGGACCAGTACGTAGACAGAACCTCTCACTGCAAGGCAGGCTACAAATGCAGAGTAACAGCTAACAAGAGGACAAACTGCACAGCCTTGTAGAACAAGCACTATGTGGTCTACAATTTTTATCCTGAGATTCAAAGGCCCAAACGTACAATGAGCAGTAAGGACCAAAGAACAAAATCCAATTCCATCTTCCGAGGTCCTGCCAGCCAACCGGAGATACTTATTCTTTGGTCCAGAAAGGGCTCCAAACCTTGTTCAACCCATGCTTTGGCACATATTCTACCAATCTCGTTGGTGCAGCCCAGATAGATTGAACTCGAGGAGGCCATGGCAAAATTTCCTGTAGATTGTTTCCCTGCTACTACATATTTCAAGACTAGCTAAGTTGTTTTAAGCCTTCATTTACATCAGTTTTTATTTTTGTAAGTACTCAATTCATGTCATCTGCTCATTGTTCTAAAAAAAATCATGTCATCTTCTCCAGCATATTTAGCTGCTATCCACCTGCATCTGTGAAAAAAGGTTGCCAGCATTAAATAATAACCTTAAAAATAGAATTGCAAACTGCATTTTCTCAAATATCCGGCAGTACACAGCAGCACAGTAGCCGCGACTGTGATGCCTACACTACACCAATTAAATGCCCACATTGATATACTGCATGAAAGGTCAATTACAGATTTCTTCACAATTATATAACAGTAAATACCAGAAATCATATGATAGTAAGAACTTATGCATATTAAACCACTCATTTAGTAAGAAGGCTGCTTGTTTAAGTCCTTTAGGACATACAGGTCAGTAACTAGAAATCTAAAATGAGTAACTTAAATTAGCAGTGCATCTATGAGATAAAAACTAGTAGAATGACTAACAAAGAGAAGTATTTATGTAACTCTCTCACCACCAATACTAGCACAGTGTCCTGATATAGGTGCATGAACCTCCGTCCTTGGGAAGCATATCCCCAGAAACCCAGAATGAGAAACATCATGCATGCTGAACCCAGATGATAATTGCATGCATGGCATTTCTAGCACCACACAAAATATGATTCATGATGCCTAGTGGCGCACATGCATGCAGGTCCAACAAATTGTCTCCCTCCTATGCAGGAAGAGGGTGCAGGCATGAAGCATCTCTATTAACACCACTAGCTTTGCATATATCCATGAGTTAACCAGCTGATTTTACCACTCTATCGCATAGACATCTTCTGCAGTTATTTGTTGGATGTCCATCAGTACTATAATGTTAGCTAGCTATATGAAAATTAGAGCATACATCCAAGCATCCAGCTAGTTATCACCCACTAGGCCACTACTGCCTACTGGGAACCCTGTAACAGTGTAGCTAATGGGCACCACCATATATACCTTGTGACTTCAAAAGATAAAATAATTGCTGGATTTGTCATGGTAGATCTGATACCTTAATATCGTGACACTCCCAATCTTATCATCATGTTCTGTGTGGTTACAATGTAATGACATTATATATCAACAATAAACAAATTTTAACAAAACAAAAAGGGGCGGTGGAGCTTAGTTAAATGAAACTAAACCTCAGGAGAACTACTTCTTTTACAAGGATATAATTTTCAGTCTTTTCCAATAACTAATTACGTATTAGGCTACCACTCACCACCAGTCTACCACTACACTCTTATTTATCACCTATTCTAGGTTCCGTACCCTACAGAATGGTTAACGTACGCTGTGATCACTCAACAATTAATGGAAGGATCTCAATAATGGTACATACAGCATGGTGCATTTGACATTTTTATTCGCTAGGCATGTATTTTTTTAGACGGAAGCTAGGCATATATTTGAGATATTGACACTGTGCACCATCAGAATCTACATTTGAAAGAAAGCACTTATATCTCGGAATCGGCAGAGATACGATATATACCCTTCCCTTCTTGTGGGTCCTCAACAGAGAGCATCAGAATCTCACTCGCCTCCCAATCTGCAAGCCAAAAAGTGTGTACACTGTTATATTTTCCATATGAGCTACAGCTCACTGCTCACACAACCGCACCCTCATGAACACGAGTACAGCCGGCGCCCCAATGGCCTATAAATAGCTGCCACCCAAGCAGAACAGATATCATATCAAAACAGCAGAAATCTCTTCTGAAGAGAAAAAAACTTCAGTCTAGCTGCACACTAGCTAGCTAGCCAGTTCACTTCCAAAGAAAGACAGTAGTCCAATCCAAGGATGTCTTCTAGGTCAAGCAGCTCCTCCCGCAACAGCAACAGTGTCAACATGGACTCAGAGTGGAGCAAAAAGGAGAACAAGCTGTTCGAGGAGGCTCTTGCCTACTACGGCGAGGGCGCGCCTGACCTCTTTCACAAGGTGTCTCGCGCCATGGGAGGCACCAAGACAGCCGATGAGGTGCGCCGCCACTATGAGATCCTCGAGGACGACCTCAAGCTGATAGAGGCAAGAAGAGTCCCGTTCCCCAAGTACAATACACAGGGAGCATGGAACTGATAGGTAACCAGCTGGGAAATATTCAACCTAATTCAATCCTCTCGCGTCTAGTAATAAACACGTGTTGCTACCTTGCTATGACTCTTCAAAGCTAGTCATCTCACGTGTTCTGATAAGTTCAGAATCGGCTGCTTAGCAAAACAATCTTCAGTTGCAGGCTAGCTTGTAAGCTGATAGCTACTGTCACATCTCACACGAACACATATGCAGGGATCATTAGATGTCAGCCATGATAATCATGCCCTAGATGATTGAACTTGAACACTGCTAGGGTAGTCAGTTGTCGTTTCATTTGCAGTTATACTTTTCAGATGCAGTGCAACATCAGAGTATCTGCACTGTACTGTAACAGATAAATCTGGCAAAACCAAGAGCTCATAACTTGAGCCTGTGACAAGCCATCATGCACACATAATTTGCATGCAGTGGTATGCACGATGCACCATTTTGTGATTATTGGTTTGCACATAGGCTGGTAGGCACAGGAGTTAGCCCTAATTTATGTACTGATGGTTTGTCCCCTAGTTACAATTATTCACGTGGGATCTAGCACCAGAAGAATAATCTCTCTGCTACCAAACAAAAGAAAGTTTGAATCTTGCAGTCTTACCCCTTGAGCAGTTGTGCTTAATTCAGTTCCAGACTAGCAGCCGACAGGTGCTTTAAACATCTCTTTTTCATGTCAGTTCATCTGGCAAATTAAAAGGTGATTGCCTTCTTTTTAAGAGGCACAAGTGTGATGTGTCTATAGGAAAAGGCAATTTATTCAAAGTTATTCTATGCTCTCTCGGAAGGGAGCACAACCATTGTAACCCTAGAAGAGGGAGCTATGCATACACCATTCTTCTCAAAATATATTTTATAGATAGATAAGTAATCTCTGAGACCCAATAAACCACACCTAGAACGCCTACATAGAAAGCAAATTAAGATAAAACGGCGTCTGAATATCTCCTATTCAAATGCAACATTATGGCGCCCTGAAATATATCTATTTTTTATCACTGCTAAGATAAACTCACAGTTCATCTTTCCAATTTATTTTCCAGGGGTGGAAGCATCTGAGGTTCCAGACAACAGGAAAAAAATTCCAATATAAATTATATTCCTTGCTAGCTGTGGCTAAGTTACTGAAGGAATCAAGGAAGTATATTGATATTGTTATTGCCTAAGAAGATTGTGGTCGCTTGGTTATAAATAAAAGAAGAAAAGACTTGTTTGTACATACTCTAGGTTGTAAAGCAAATCAGTGTCGATCTTGCAGAAACTAGCCTGCATTTGGCATTGTGTGTGGTTGTTAAACATTCCAGCTAAATTATGTAGTAAACATCAGTGATGTAAGACTTCTGTACTTGTGTGCTAGTGATTATAAAGTTGTGCTTGCTAGAATCTCACTTCCTCATTGGACCAACTGGTTTCAGAATTTTGAATTTGTGATGTCTACATTTGAACTATGAATGCTTCAATGTCCCTTCCAAGTTCCAACCAAGATGTAAATGCAATGTAGATATGACGTTAATTTGCTCAGTGCTCACAGAGTTCTCACCTCTTGAAGTAGCTAGTTATCAACCGGAGTATAATGAAACATTATGTATTACACTGCCAGCTACTCTGAAAGTGGATCAAGTATTTGAGCTATTATCAGGAAGAAAGTAGCATCTTGCTAGCTTCACACAGGTTGAAATGAAGAAATACACAAGTCATTTTCAAGAATATGAAAAAAAAAGCAAATAAACTAAAAGGCCAGAAGTATATACCATTTAGACAGTTCTACACCCCAAAAGATACCATCCGACCTGTTTAATTGATTTTAAGCCTAGTAATAGCCACAGACCACTGTACCAAACCTTCTGATCCTGGTACGACAGTAACCAGGAACAGCTAGCGCCTAGGAATAAAATAAACTAGCATGCTTAACTGATTTTAAGGGTTTTTTTTTCTATGAAACAAACATTGATAGTACCGATCCATCTACATTCTTGAGATTTGAGACCCAGCAACACCCAATAGGAATCGACTCATATCCGAAATATTTCCTCAGAAGTGTTTGGTAAACCATTCCGATCGTAAATCGTAATACATAGGATCAGAATTGCATCAAATCTGGCCCTAATTATGATTTCAGTGTTCAACTTCAACTGCGGAACTGTATGGAAGAAGTAACACACAAAGCATATAGCAATCGCCAAATTAATTTACCACACCCTTATCTCTCTACACGCAGTAATGAATTAAAATAACATGTAGTAAATGCGAGATGTAGAATGCGAACCCAGTAGCCATAGCACTGACCTAGTTTTGCCGGTTCGCGGCGTTGCCCTCCGATCGCCTCTCCGTGAGGCGGCGGGAAGCTTGCCCACGCGCCCCCCGAGTGGCCAGCCGCCGCCGCCGCCGCCGCGGCTACTCACCATCGCCTCCCCTGGTTCAAGCGCGACGAGGCCGCGGGCGACCGGCGGTGGCGGTGGCGGTGGCGGTGGCGGTGCGCCCCTTCACCTGCGGCGGATTCGCCCTTGCCGGGACGACTTTTGAGCCGCCCAACCACCGAGCGCCCAAGGCCTGATGGGCTTATTTCTCCCAACGGCCCATATACCTTCACGGGCCGTCCTGCTTCGGTAGGCCCAACCGATAGCCTTCCGAGCTTGGCCCATTGACACAGTGGCAACACTGTGTTTTGTGGGGGATTTCCTTTAACTATTTACCACAATTAAGAAACGTCGCAATGTATGACACAGGGAGTCCTCATATATTTATTGAATGCGCCTACAAATCAGGCGTCCGATTTTTTTTTCAAAAATCGGACGTTGTTTTACCAAGTAGATCGAAAATATTTCAATCTTTTAAAACGCTGAAACACAACCAAATCACCTCATGAAACATTTTGCTATAACGTATGAAACAACGATTTTTAAAAAATCAGTCGTTGTTTCACCCTATATAAAAACAATGTTTTAACAAATAGCGAAAGAATGTTTTAATTCTTAAAAAAAAGTGAAACATGGTCAGATTGCTAGATGAAATAATTTGATTCAACGTATGCACCCTATGTACATCAACAAACCACGTGTCTATCAAGATGAAATTATTAAACAGTAGCAAAATCCACCGCAACATTTGATCCATACATAGCGAAACATCACGAGTACACTAGCTGAAACATCGTTGGTGGAACAAATAATGAAACGGATCCGGTGTTTCTGTTATATCCGGGCGGCTATTGCAATGGGCACACGTGGTGAGGGCGCGGAGGCGTGACGCGGCACGGCACGGGCGCCCGACGCAGAGGATTCACGATATTCATGGCATGTGAGTCCAATAATAAATACTTAATTATCACTTGTAAAACATTAGGAATGGTAAAAAGTTAAATATCTCTTCGGCGGCTGTTCGTTGCAAGCGCGCGCAATGTAAAAAGCACGCGAGCGAGCTGCGGGAGAGCCGAGGACGTCGGCGGTCAATGTCGACGCAGCGGCGGTCACACAGGAAGCAGCTGGGGCAGGGTCCCCCGCCGGGAGAGACGGGCTCAAAACTGAGATGATATGGTGTGCGGCGGGGGTGCAGCTGGACCACCGGATGGGTCACGTCGCCGGCCCCGCTAAACTCGGTGACGGCGACAAAAGCTCCTCAAAGGATGCCATGGGCCGGGGTGCTAGCTTGCCGACAACGTACGTAACTCTAGCCCTGCTCGGCTGCAACCGCAAACTTTTTCATGTGCCTCTTGTTGTGAAGCAAAGTGTAGTGAACTGATAAAATGCAAAACAAATACGCTCATTTTTCATCTCAAAAGAAAAAAAAAATATACACACAACTTGCATGGAACAGCAATCTGTGATAGGAGTACATGCGCCAGCTAGGGGCTTGCACTAGACTTCCTAGTTAAGGCCACTGAGTACATGCCCTAACGACCGTCTCGTTGTAGTGTCTTTGTGTGATGAGCCTCCCCGGCTTTCGAGAGTTAAGAGATCCAGCAACGAATGGTTCAAACCTAGAGAAACGGGACGAACTCAGGGGTGCCTATCGCTTTCCAAAAGATGGCGATATAGCCTCACCATCCTCTCTAATCAAAGGGCAAAGAGAGGAGTACTATATGAGTGAGGCCGAGCTAGCTAGGCTTCATGCATCCCAGATACAGTAGTGCATATCCCAAACCCAACCAAAGGACACCAATCTCTAGGCTTAACTCTGGCCGTGTCGGGAGCAACTTTTTGAACGACGATCTCCTCGGCCGGATTGCCTGCCCCAGCCATCGCACCAAACACACAACACAACGCTAGTACTCGCAGCCGTATACTGTTTGGTGCTCGTGCTCCTCCCCTTGTTTTTTCTCCCGTCTTATTTTAACACTTCCGTCATGCGGCGACAGATCACACGGAGCACAAGGCGTACAAACCCCTGCCAAGCTGAGCATTAAGCTGCTAATTAAACAAACGTTTATTCAGCTGCTAATCCACTGCACACACACCAGATCAAGGGAATGGTTTAGATACTCTGTGCAGTGAGCACGCAGGCGAGTTTTCGTCTGCTGCATATGTGGAGATTTCGTGGATATAATTACAGTAATACAGGGAATGGTTGGGCTCGCAATAGATAGAGACGAGAAGGAAACAGGAGCCATGCTTTGGTTAAGGTCGTGTCGGCGCTTTGGCCGTTGGGCAGCAGCATACGGAATGATGGGCTCCACAGCCTTTCGCTTTCTCTGGCATCGCTGCCTCCTTTGACTTGGCAGGGGGAATTACGCAGCTTATAAACATCAACAAAGGAAAAGGAATACAGAGAAGAAAAGAAAAGAAAAGAAAAGCCTCTCTGGTGATCTGGCTCTCTCTCCCCCTCAGACTCCTCGTCCGATGGGCAGTGACATGTACCACCACCACCACTCGCAGGAGAAATGATCAGGCATACAGTCGCGGCGCGCCGTATCGGATCCCCGTGGCGTTGGCCATTGCCATTGCCATCCTGGGTTAAGCGCGCGTGGAGGTTGGTGCCAAAAGGCGGGATCTTCTATGCCTGACCGCGACTGTTCCTTGGACCGATGATCGGATTCGATTCGACGGGGGACTTTATGGAACTTGGGGGAGCCATCATGGCGAGCCCGATTATCATCACGACGTCGCGCCCCCCCCTCCCCTCCCCTCCCCTCCCCTCCCCTCCCCGTCTTTTCCTGTGTTCCTCCACTCCTACCACTGTTGAGCTAAAACTTTTTAGCCCATGTCACATCAAATATTTGACACTAATTTAGAGTATTAAACATAGACTAATAAAAAAATTAATTTCATAAATGAGAGCTAATCAACGATAAGATTTTTTTAAGCCTAATTAATCCATAATTATCAAAAGTTTACTGTAGCATCACATTGCCAAAATCATGACGTAATTAGACTCAAAAGATTCGTCTCGTGAATTAGTCCAAGCTTATGGAATAAGTTTTGTAATTAGTGTATATTTAATACTCGAAATTAGTGTCAAATATCCGATGTGACAGGGACTTAGAATATGTCCCTGGAAACCAAACAGCCCCCTAGTCTCCTCTTCTCCTGGCATCCCTTTCCCTTTTGATTCTTTTGATTTGGTTTCCCTCCCTTCTCTTTTGTTTTATTTTTTTCCTCCCTTCTTCTTCGATTCGTCGACCCCGGCCCTGCTTCTTTCGCTACGGCTCCTTTGCCCTTTTTCTTCGTCTTCGACTCCCTTTGCGTTTGGAAGCTCGCAGCGCTTCGATCGGCTTGGCCTACTGCTAATCATGTGCCCAAACGTGCTGCTTGTGGAGATAGCGGTAGCCCAGTTGTAGGCTGCTTTTGGACCGAGGAATGAGCTCGCTTTTTAGGGCCGATCTGATGAGAGTGAGTACGTAACGTAGCAGCAGTAGTAGCATCGTGCTGTAACATCTCGTGGTGTGATCCATCCATATCCATCGATCGGTGGATCGGTCCGGATATACTGCAGTCAAAGCTGGTGTGGTCTAAGGGTGCAGCGACGGCAGCGTACGTACGTTGCGTGGTCGTTGATCGATCGATCGATCCGAATCACACAGAGTCACAGCTAGCTATAGCTCGATCGATCAGACGATCACATGGTACGTGTAGTAAATAAATGGCATTCGATCCATCGCGTCGTCGCGAGAGAGATAAAAGGGGCACGATGCAGTGGATGCATGCAGTGCAGATGCAGATGCAGCGCCAGGCTTTCGGGATTCATCAGAGAGCTGCCCACCGAACAACGGACGCTTGCGCATGCATGCAATGCATGCCACGCCATGCATCATATCCTCGTCGTCGTGGCTGCTTTGCCAGCTTGTTTGCCCCCGGTGGTGGTGGTGGCCGGCCTGGGGATCCCACAAAGCCCAGCAGAGAGGGTAGGAGGATTCAGGGACAGATCGAACTGTGCCCCTCGTGATCGGCGAAACCCAATGGAGACTGGACGAGTACCCAGCAGATGAGCCGCACAAGCTATAGTTTGGCGCTATGCACCAGCCAGCCCGGCCTCCACGTCCCCATATGCTGCGTCGGAGACTGTTCCCGGTTTCACGTGGCCTCTCTTTTGACCCGTCTTTGACCACGCCCCAGGCAAGCCAGCCAGCCAGCCAAGCCGATCGATCGACCAACAGGAAGGCAAGGCAGACATGAGACATCCTCCTCGCCCCCGCGCGCGCGTCGACGCGCATCTGCCTATCTATCCCCTGCGGCGGACGGGCGCTGCATCGCGTCTCGCGCCCGGCCGGAATCCGAAATCTAGCCGCGCGGGCCAGGGCGGCCACAGGCCACGTAAAAAGCCGCCACCCCACCGTACTCCCACGTCGTCGCTATAAAAACCCCACACCCGTACCCCTTCACCCATCATCCACCACCAACCGATCCATCCATCCATCCATCTGCCGCAAATCTCCTCGTCGTTTCGCCGACCAGCTCTCGCTGCCGCCCGCGTTTGATCGAGCAAGTCGATCGTTGGTTAGCGCGTACGTACGTCTTGGTCATTTGCAGCTGCCACACCTCCGCGCCATCACTACAAACTCGATCGATCGATCAGAGAGTAGTGCAGCGCGCGGTTGGGCATCATGCTGCACGAGGCGGCGCCCTGCACGTGCGGGCTGCTCTACGGCAGCTGCGGCGGCGGCTGCTCGCTGCTGTTCCCGGCGGGGGCGCCGGGGGACCACCACCACCACCACCACTACAAGCAGTACTGCGGCGCCGGCGACGGGGAGTACCCCGACGTGCCGTACGGCGGCGGCGGCTCGGTGGACTGCACGCTGTCGCTCGGCACGCCGTCGACCAGGCGCGCCGAGGCCGCGGTAGCGGGGTTGCCGTGGGATCAGTCGTCTTTGCAGCCCAGCTGCAACGGGCGGCAGGAGATGAGCGGCGCCGCGGCGCCGCGCACGGAGCCCAGCGGTGGCGCGGGCGCCGCCGCCGCGTCGGCTCCTCGCCGCTGCGCCAACTGCGACACGACCTCCACGCCGCTCTGGCGGAACGGCCCACGCGGACCAAAGGTACTGTCCATTGCCTACAAAAGCACACTGATCATAACATACATAATTACACAAACACGTATAAGCTAATGCAATGTGCTCGCGTACACAAGCAGCATACACGCATTCTCCTGCATGTGTGATCGATTCGATGCTAAACGTATGCGTGATCTGCTTTTCAGTCGCTGTGCAACGCGTGTGGCATCCGGTACAAGAAAGAGGAGAGGCGCGCCGCCGCGGCGGCCGTGGCGCCGACGGCGCTGGCGTCGGACGGCGGGGTGGAGTACGCGTACGGGTACCCGCGGCAGCAGCAGCAGTGGGGATGCTATGGGCCGGCCGTGGCAAAGGCGGCGTCCTTCGGCATGTTCGGTGACGCGGCGGGCGAGGACGGGCCGTGCCTGCCGTGGGGGCTCGGCGTCATGCCCTCGTCGCCGGCGTTCGGCGCCGTCCGGGAGATGCCAAGCCTGTTCCAGTACTACTAGCTAGGCTACCAGCCTCATCTTACTCCCTCTTCACTCACTAGATCTCTTTTCTCCCCTTTTTAGTAACAACAAGATGCTGTACTTCTTTTTGAGGGCATGAGATGCTGTACTTGACCAACGACCCCAGCTGCATGAAAGTTGAAGCTGATATGTATGGTCATCAAGTTTTCTATACTAGGCTGCATTTTGTCATCAGCGTCCATTGCCATTTGTAATGTCTATTATTTGAGTAAAATAGATTTTTAAGGCAAATTAGCCAAACATTAATTATATATGCGGGTGAAGCCAACCTGCTAAACTATCATCTCTTTGTTGCACGACGATTGCAAATAGTAGTAGTATAGTACTGCTGCTACTAAAGTACAGTGGAGCCCTGTTCTTTTTGTGCAAGAGCATATGGTATGACGCTGCATTACCAGGAGTAACAGTGCCTGTTCCTGTTGGTAACCATGATTGGTTTCCATTGGAAACACCGTGCACAGGGTAGTACAGCTAGAGCCTATAGAGAGATTTGCACCTTTTTGCTGGGCCCTGGGAGTGGGAGGATGCCCCAACGGTCAATCATCGGTAGCTGCATATGTCCTGGGACCCGCCAACGTAAGGGCCCGCGTTTTCATAGTTTCTACAGTTGTAATGTATCAGTAGTCTCGACTTTCTACGTGATTCTGAGTAAGAACAAGTTTAATAGTATAGCCAACTACTAGCTCCAAATCATATATAGCCAGTATAATAATCAATTTATATAATAGTTACTTACTATACTATTAATACTTGATTCTACCTGTTATACACACATTACGTTTTAGAGGCTGTGCTGCAGCTGGCTACATATCTGTAGATCTGTAGCCCGCTGCTTTTCTCTATCTTCCTTTTATCTTTTTAAAATATATTTATAGTTAGCTTATAGCCTGCTACTGTACCTGCTCTAAGCTGCCCGATGGAGGAGCGCCCAAACTGCAGTCGATCCGCCCCACCGCTGTGTGTGTCTCAGTCCTCGTTTCTCTTCTCCGGCCGCCGTGTTCGTCGCCGCCATCCCACTGACTACCTCGACATAGTTGATAGTAGTATCATTTTCTCAAAAAAAAAAAACATAGTGTAGTTTCATCTTGAAAACCAGATTACTTAGCCCAAGTTGCACAATCTTGATTGTTGGGCAGTTGGGCTTAGTTGATGTATGCCGTGTACCTGGGCGTCTGGGCCCATTAGAAACCCCAGAACGTTTGGTGTAGGCCCAGGCCGTGTACTTGGGCCCATCTGAAAACTCCAACACGATAACGTGGCAGGCTGGCGGCGGGCCCCTTCCCCCATGACCCCCAAAATCTGATCCAAACCACCATCCATCAACCCAACCACACCCCGCGCGCCACGCTCCGTCGCCCCCCACACACAACACAAGGCGTTACTCCGGCACCTCCCGCCTCTCTCTCCCTCGCCATGGACGCGGCGGGGAGGAGGCTCGCCCGCGTCACGGCCCACCTCCTGCCCAGCTCCCTCCCGCTCCCGCTCGCCTCCGCCCCTACCCTCGCGCCTTCCCCCGCCGCGTCGCCAGCGTCGGACAGCTACCGACGGGTCCACGGCGACGTGCCGTCGGAGCCCCCGGAGTGGCGCGCGGCGACGGACGAGTCCGGGAAGGGCTTCGTGGACATCCTCTACGACAAGGCCGTCGGCGAGGGCATCGCCAAGGTGAAGAGCTGTAACGAATTTAATCTGTGTTATGCCAAATTGCCAATTTAATCGCTGTAGTGTACAGCACAGTTTAGCTCCCTTTGTTGAATTGCTAAGACCGATCTCTTTTGTTGATTAGCATTATAGTGTGTGTTCATCTCCCATTTCGTGATTGGCTGATTCGCAATCGCGATTCCTGTTGCAGATCACAATAAACCGCCCTGATAGAAGGAATGCATTCCGACCCCTGACCGTGAAGGAGCTTATGCGTGCTTTCGAGGATGCTAGAGATGATAGTTCAATCGGAGTCATCATACTAACAGGGAAGGTAACTATGCTAGAGAAATCATTAGGTATTCAGGTTCCAGCTGGTACGCAATGTGAATGAAATACTTACTTTGATGTTTTTTGATGGACAGGGGACCCAGTCCTTCTGTAGCGGCGGTGACCAGGCGTTAAGGGATGCTGATGGATATGTTGATTTTGATAGCTTTGGCAGGCTCAACGTCCTAGACCTCCAGGTCATACGCATTACTCTGACATTTGCACACACTGATTGACTATCTCATAAAAATATATTCTCGCACCTCATAACAAGCTTCTGGTGCTCCATGTGCTGTTTTTTCAAAAGCATTCCGTGCAAGTATTCGAGGGCTCAGTTTTGTAGCTGAGGTTGGATGTACTACTCTCCTCTGTATGTTTATCTAATCTTTAGGCCAAAGCCTCTTTTCAGGATAAAATTCATTTTTAGATTACTAGGCTTCAATTCTGAGTGTGTTCAATGTTCATGATATTCTTATATGAGCTTCCATAAACTACTCTATTTTGGTGGTACTTCAAGTCCTACATGAAAACTACTTGTTCACATTGTTGATGTCTTATGTTCCACTGTTCACTCATCAAACCCCGTACAGAATGATGTTTTTAGCTCTGAGCAGAATGTACATTTTGTTTCTTCAGGTGCAAATACGGCGCCTTCCAAAGCCTGTTATAGCAATGGTATTATCATCACTATTGTGTTTTTCCCCTCATTTAACCATTCTACATTAGTACTACATTTCTAAATGTTAAATTTGGTGCTCATACTATATCAGGTTGCTGGTTATGCTGTTGGAGGAGGCCATGTGTTGCACATGGTGTGTGATCTAACGATTGCAGCTGACAATGCAATTTTTGGGCAGACAGGTCCTAAGGTGTTTTTCTGGCCTGTTATTACTTCCTGTATATAGGCATTACACGTTGCTATTATAAAAGTTAGTCGATATAGCGGAACGACGTTAGTTGCTATCACAGTATCACTCAAAGTTCTGATGCAACTTCTGTTACAACAATCTAATTTGTCTTGACATTTCTTTTTTCCTTTTTTCCCACCGGGCCAGCGACAGAACCGGCCAAATGCAGTAAGATTTAAAGATGGAATTACATAAAGCTAGAGTCCAACGACATGATTGTTGGGAGGTGTATTGACCTTTCTCTAGCATGTAGAGGTCCTTGTGCTTGCTTTAGTAGCACTGATGAATTTCAGCTATGCCACCTAAAGAATATGATAACTTTGGTTTCACCGTAGTACATCTAAGCTTCTATAAGCTTATTCAGACTTTGATTAAATGGGAAAATTTTGTCACTGAACTACTAGTGCAATCAAATGTTAATGAAAGTAGGTTGAATAGCTTGGTGTTTGGGCTATGCATCAAGAACACACGGTGCATTTAGGCTCTGTTTGAAAGCCCGTTTAGCTTTTGCTTTACTGCCAGACTGCCACACATGAAACGAAAAATATCATTAGCATATGATTATTTAATTATTAACTATTACAAACTCGAACAATTGGTTTATTTGATTTTTCAAAGAAACTTTTGTATAAAAAGTTTTTGTAAAAGACATACCGTTTAGCAATTTGAAAAATGTATTCATGGTAAACGAGGGAGTTGTAAAAGCTAAACGAGGTTTCAAACATTGTTTCCTTGTAGTTTGACAGTTTGACCCTTAGCGGGATTCGTGATTACCTGTGTGCTATAGTACTTTTAAGAGTAGGTTATCTGAATGGTCTAATCTGAGTTGCTTTTTTTTTTTGCACTTATCTTTTTTTTTTCTGAAAGATTTTTTTTGCTTTTCTTATTCAGAGTAAATTTTATCAGTGAAACGCAAAGCTTACTTTACCTTGTCTCTCTGATTTATACAGGTTGGAAGCTTCGATGCTGGCTATGGCACTTCAATTATGTCTCGGTTGGTAAGTCAATGAGGTGCATGTCCTCAATAGAGCTTTTGTGTCATTGCGTAACTTTCCATATGACCATATCATGCATTGAAATCCCCTATCCAAAACATCTTCATTTTTTCAGAAAATAGTAAGATGTTTCTGTCTCTCTTTTTTTTTCCTGTCTCGGACAGGTAGGACCAAAGAAAGCTCGTGAGATGTGGTTTCTGTCACGGTTCTACACAGCTGATGAGGCAGACAGAATGGGTCTCGTCAATGTAGTAGTACCAGTGAGTGCCCGAGGAGTTTACAACTAATGCACAGTCTCTAACTCTCTATGACTCATGCCAGGTGTTTATGCACTAACCGTATACATTCTTTGTGCATATAGCTCGCTGATTTGGAGCGAGAAACGGTGAAATGGTGCCGAAAAATCTTGAGGAACAGTCCAACAGCCATCCGGGTGCTGAAATCTGCACTCAATGCAGCTGATGATGGCCATGCTGGCCTTCAGGTACTAGCACCATTCATCGAAAGCCAGAGATAAAACTACAGCTCCTTTCTTCCTCCTTTGTAATTGCTGTAGTAAAAAAACAATCCTCCTTTTGCCTCTTTCCTGAACATACTTACCCCTTGGATGCTTGAGTTTATTGGAACCACTGATGCAATCGGCGCTTCTGCTGCAGGAGCTCGGTGGCAATGCGACACTGATCTTCTATGGAACTGAAGAGGCAAAAGAAGGCAAAAATGCATACATGGAGCGACGGCGCCCTGATTTCTCAAAGTTCCCTCGGAAGCCTTAAAAGTTGAACTTGTGCACTACTAGTACAGATTTCTCTACAATTCTGCTGTATGTCATGACGCAGACTGAAATGCTACTCAAATCTCCGTTTCCTCGTCAACTCTGCCGGAAGCATAGGTGGGCGTCCCAATGATTGCCAGCCCCGGTGGACGGGTGTAGAAGCGAGATCGTTATCCTTTACATGTCATTTGTTAGTTGGCATTTTTATAGGTGTAAATTGCAGTGCTTACGTATATGTGAATATTCATCCCGACATATCATAGCCGCTGGAAATAAATGGCCTTGTGGTGCATTAGTTATTTGATCCTATAACAATTGGCCTATATTTATTTTTTTGCTGGTTGTTTTGTTTGCTTTTCAATTTATTTTAATAACTTTTTCAAGGATATTTATCTGTAAGAATTTGGATGTGGCTTGTTGATAAGAGTATTCTGTGTATTCGAGATTCTTTCGTGACCCCGTGAGAGATGAGATGAGCCCATAGAAAACGATAGTTTGGTGACGTAAACCTGCGGCTGAGGCCCAGTAGAGAAAACCAAAAAGGCCCAGTCCTCCTTAATATTATCCTTTGTTGCGTCGCGTCTCTCCACGGCCCCGAATCGCCTGCGGCAGCCAACGCAGCATCCACCGTGTCCCCATCGCAAGCGAACGCCACACCAAGTCGCCACGTACCCAACACACGCTACGCATCCACCGAGTCGGGGCGCACGGGATCCCCGTCTCCCCCGCGCCGCACAAAATAACGAAATTAAAAAAAAGATAATAAATAATATTATTAAAATAACAAGAAAGCACAGCCACAATTCACCACCTCCTCCTCCTCCCCTCTCGCCGGGTTAAACAACGAGGAAAACCTAACCTAATCGGGAAAAAATATCGGAGGAATCCAGAAGCGGGGGGCTCCCACCTTGTTGGCGACGATGCTGCGCGCGGGAGGGAGGCGGCTCTTGGCCCCCGGGCTCCGGCGGGTCCTCGGCGGCGGGGCGGCCGCTCCGGTGGCCGTGGGCGGGGCGAAGGCGTACCACGAGCGGGTGGTGGACCACTACGAGAACCCGCGGAACGTGGGGTCGTTCGAGAACGACGACCCCAGCGTCGGGACGGGGCTGGTGGGGGCGCCGGCCTGCGGCGACGTGATGAAGCTGCAGATCCGCGTCGACGAGAGCTCCGGCAAGATCGTCGACGCATGCTTCAAGACCTTTGGGTGCGGATCCGCCATCGCGTCCTCCTCCGTCGGTGAGCCCCCCAACCCCAACTATTCCCCTACCTGTTCCCCCCCACCTTCCCTTGGATGATATGGTTTAGGCTTCGTTTTCGTCTTCGTGAGGTTTTCTGTATTTTTCAATTGTTGGGCCATTTGCCAACGATGAGAAATTGTCGGAACGTACGAGGAAGGATTGTGATTTGCTTTGTAGTATGATAGGGAAATTCCGGGGGCCAATTCTGAGCGTGAGATATAGCTACATGAGATGCTTGTTGAAACAGGAAGGCTGTTTGGATCAGTGTAGGAATTATAGTACTAACAGCAATATTTTTTGTGTCTGTGTCCAATAGCTGCCTGTGTTTTTTCACCTTAGAAATCATGTTCAATTCAAATATATTCAATGTAATGTTATCTTGATTTGGTGCAGAGAGTATTAATACTATGTGTATGTTGTAAACCTGTGGAGGCAGATGTGGTTGATTAATCCTGGGTTTAATTTGATTGAGTTATGTTAATTTGGTGGTCTAGGGTAGATTTGGTTGATTAATCCTGGGTTTAATTTGATTTGAGTTATGTTAATTTGGTGGTCTAGGGTAGATGTGGTTGATTAGTCCTGGGTTTAATTTGATAAGTATGTTGTTTTGGTGGTCTAGGGCTAAGGTGCTCGTTCTGCTTGTCTGGTACAAGCGGTTACTGTTTTCAGATGCTCCCCTCCCCCTAATGATTTTCTGTTTTGGTGAGCTTATACTTATGGATTATTTGTCCTAATTAGTAGCATTGAAAGTTTTTACATTTCCCAAGTTGTATGTCCTAAACGAAATTTGACATGATTGGGCCCCACCACTGAACAAACAACTTGAGAAAGGTGTATTATCGGTGAAATACTTTTGATAGTCAGCAGCTCAAACTGTTCTCAAGATGATCGCAATTTTGTGGAAGAAAACAGAAGAGTCTTTACAGAATTGCTATTTATGTTATGTGCATTATTCTGTTGTGAGGCGAATTCCTGTATGTAACTTTATTCATGTTATGTTACGGCAAATGTCGCCATGATATGATGCATACTGTATGTATTGTTTGCTAGTTATAAGCCAAAAACTAGAACCAATTGCAGCTTGAGGTTAATATTAACTTACTTTAATGCATTTGCATATTTTCCACATGAAAATCATCATGTTCAGATGCCTGGAGTTCACCCCTGTTCTCAACCAATAGAGTTAACAACATCAGTTGCCCAGCTGGTGGATTAACTCTTATGATTGTTCTCTAGAATCTCTTTACTATGGAAGATTGTTTGTGCTGAGAAAATTTGGGTCCCAACAACAAATTCAATTCCTGATCCGGCTTTTGTCCTTGCAGCTACTGAATGGGTAAAGGGCAAGCAAATGGAGGAAGTAGTGACTATAAAAAACACGTAAGCTATTCCCCTTCCTGGTTGTTTGCACTGCAATACTCTCAGTGGTTACATTAACATGCTATGCTTATATGGCCTTTTGGATGTCATTGAACTACTGTGGTTCGTTATTACCTTGTGGTAATTAAGTTTCTGGCTGGTATGTGCAATTTCCTTTTCAGACCATACTTTTTCATCAAAATTTTCAATACTAAATGTCGGTAAAGGGGTTCCATCTGTGAGATTTTCTTTGTCATTCGTTGTCGTAATGATGACCGTCTTTCAGTTAATGCTTCAGCATTTGGACATGTCTGAAGCACTTTGGTAAAATTATTTGATATGCACTTGACTAACATGATGTTTCCAGAACTGTTTTGTATAGATCATATTGGTTTTTCTGTAGTTCCTTGGCAGTGGAGTGTGTCATGTGTTTGCATTGATTCATGAACTTATTTGTGTTTAATGGATGCATTTTCATTCAGAGACTTGATTTGCCTGTTTGCTAAGAGTTGTTTGGCTGCTCATATTTTCTTATGAATGTAGATGGTAATCCCATCAGGATAACCATGCAGCATACAGTTTAGCTTATGCCCTTTGCTTGCATGGAAGACTAATATACTTTCCCTTTATTTTTACTAATTTTGTATTTTGTCTATCAATAAGTTTGTGTGTGAGGATGCTGTCAAATGCTTTCAATCAAGTTCTGTAAGGCTGTAACAGGGTTTTGTGCTCTGCTTTGCAGTGAGATTGCCAAGCACTTGTCACTTCCACCAGTAAAGCTCCATTGTAGCATGCTTGCTGAGGATGCAATTAAAGCTGCCGTGAAAGACTATGAAGCAAAGAAGGCGAAGCTAGCACAAAAGGGTGAAGAGAAGGCTGCCGAAGCATGAGTGCCAGAGGTTCTGTCATGAAGAATGTTGCAGTGCCCTGCGTACTCGTAGTAAAGAACCTGTCATGAAGAAGTCTCTGCTCTGCTTCTTGCTGGCGGGAAATAGTGTGTAACGCTCACAAACTCTATGCAGCATGTATCATAAGGATGAAGGCAAACATTTTTGAATAAATGTGCTGTCATCTTGAAAGAAAAAAAAAAGGTGTATGCGTGTGTATGGCCTAGTAATGAACATATGGTACGGAATTACGGTCGCGAGATAAGGCACATTGTTTCTCTTTGGTTGTTTCAATTAGTCTTAGGTTGAGTTGGTAGATGCTCATGAACTTGAGTTGCCTGGTCACTTGCATCATTTTTCTTTTTTTTTAAAAAAATAACTGTTTAGTAGTTCTCCGTGTTTCTCCATCCAACAGGAATGCAGAATAGTTATTGTTTTGAGAGTTCTCCTAGTATCTCCATCCACTAGGAATATACTGAACTTCTGTAGATATATCCATGGTGCCTGTAAGAGTGCAAGTTCTGTTTGAGAGACACTCGGAAGTTCGCAGGGCGAGTCCGGTTAATGGCCCGTCACAAGCAGCTGTCACATACGGCGGAGTATGCGACCTCCGGCATCACCAGACCCGCGTCGGCTGCCGCCGGATCTAAAGTCAGGCACGGGAGGAGGCGGTAGGCGGCGGGGATGCTGGGGCAGCGTGCGGATGGCGGCGGCAGGCGGCGGGGATGCAGCCATGCAGGTGTCAGCGGGAGTAGAGGAGGCACGGCCGGCGGTGTGCAAGCCGGCGTGGAGCGTGCGGCAGAGGGAGGCCGGCGCGGCGGGCGTCGTGGAGGATGGCGCGACAGGCGTCACGGAGGCCGGCACGACAGTTTGGAGTCGCGGTCGGCGGCGTGGATGTGAGATCGGTGGTGACGGTCGCGTCACCTGGAAGCGAGGTCAATGACGACGTGGAAACTTGGTTGGCGGCGGCGAGGTTGTCACAGCACGTGGGGGCGCAATCGGCGTGAGGTGACCGGCGAGGCATGGATGGTGCGGAGGCCGGTGAGGCGCGGCTTGCGCACGGTCGCGGCGCAAGGAGGCGTGGCAGAGGCCGGCGCGACGTGAGGAGGTGCAGCTAGCGCAGTGGGAGGCGAGGTCGGCAGAGACGGAAGCCGGCGAGGCGTGTGCCGGTGCGGTACAACGAGGCGCGGCCGGTGGTGACACGTGGAGGCTGGCCAGCGGGGAGCGCCGGTACAGTGGTGCGTATGCGCCGGTGGTGGTTTAGATGGTGGTGGAGCAATGGTGCGTCAACTGTGGATTGGCAGGCAAAGAACGGCGGGTGAAAACCCAGCCTAACCTTGACCGGGCTGGCAACGGTGGCGTTTATGCGTCACTCCCCTCCTGAGGGTGTTGTCGTGCCGTTTCATCCCTCTCAAGGCAGAACTAGTAAAGCTTGCAGTAGCTTTCCACCTCCGACGAAACCGGAGATCCTTCGCCAAATACGACCAAACGTGGCCTTTCCATCATCCCAAAATCAAAATACGAAAAAGGGTAAACGCTAATAGCATCACCCCCTCTGAAACTCTGACGCCATTGCGATCACATGTTAAACCTGTACGTTTGGCATGCCAGCAGCTCATGCGCCAGAAGCAATTGAGCTTGCCAAACATTAACCATCGCTTTTGAGTGCGTCCGGTAAAGCACGCGCGCTTCCAGGCCAGCGTACGTCGGCGAACTGATGCGGTGCAGGTAAGATAGCGTTTCACGACCCTCACCTAGGCAGTCACATGGTTAGTTGGTCACACGCTGATGCGCGCCAAATCCATACACCGTTTTTTGCAGCAAATGGGCTGTGAGCCCACACAAGTATTGCCAACTGGGCTTGGACGGGTTACTGAGCTGTTTGGGCCATCTACCAATGGTTAAAAAAAGGAATAAGTTCATCTAAGGTCCCTTAACTTGTCGACAAATCCGATTTTCGTCCTTCAACCGCAAAACCAGATAGAACGGGTCCCTCAACTATCAAAACCGGTGTAGATTAGGTCCCTCGGCGGTTTCGATGGTGGTTTTGGCTGACGTGGCGTCTACGTGGCTAATTTTGACTCAGTCTCGATCTGATGTGGCACTGATGTGGCGTTTACGTGGCAATTCGACCTGGGAAAATAATAAACCCCATGGGACCCACATGCCAGTTTCACACAAAAATAATAATAATAATGGTGGGACCCACGTGGGCCCCACATGTCAGTCTAACTCACCCCCTCCTGTTCTGCTTCCTCTCTCTCCTTCTCCCCTCTCTGTCTCTCTCTTGCGCTGGGTCATTCTGATTCTCCTCTTCCCCATCTTCTCTGTCTTCATCTCTCTCCCCTCTCCTCTCTCTCTCTTCTCTCCGGTTGACAGGCGGCGGGGAGAGGGCAGTGGCCGGCTGGGAGAAGGGGCGCGGCGCGGCAGCCGGCGGGAGGGAAACTAGCGGGGAGAAGGGAACTAGCCCGGCGGCGGAGGCGGCGCCGCCGTGGCCATGGCTGCGGACGACGTCGACGTCGACCTCGGCATCCTCGGCGACGAGATGAACGTGTCCCGCTGATCGGCCAACACACGCGCGCATCCTCGGAGGCGGCCATCCGTGCAGGCGGGTGAGGGGGCCACCTCGCCGGCGGGAGAGGGGAGAGGCGGTCGGCCGCGAAGACCACCCTAGTGACGATGATTCCAACTACAACTCCTAGTGACGAACTCGAGGTCGACGACGAGGACTCTAACTACAACTCCTGCTCCGCCGCTGCCAACGACACCGCTAATCCCGTGAGTCCATGACGACCTCGCTCACCTCCGACGGCCACGTCGTAAGCGTCTACTTCCGCCTTGAAGCGCCCCTGGCGACGTCACGCCTGTGCCCCAGGCGGCCACTCTTCTCCATTTTCGCCGCCGTCGTCGTCGCCGGCCGCATCCCCTAGCACAAGAGAGAGATGAAGAGAGGGGAGGAGAGAGAGGAAGCAGAAGAGGAGGGGTGAGTTAGAGTGACATGTGGGGTAGCGTGGGTCCCACCATCATTATTATTATTTTTGTGTGTGAAACTGATATGTGGGTCCTATGGGGTTTATTATTTTCCCGGATCAAATTGCCACGTAAGCGCCACGTCATACCACGTCAGATCGAGACCGAGTCAAAATTAGCCACGCAGACGCCACGTCAGTCAAAACCGCCATCGAAACCGTCGAGGGACCTGATATGCACCGGCGTTGTATCTAGTTTTGCGGTTGAAGGACGAAAATCAGATTCGTTGACAAGTTAAAGGACCTTAGATGAACTTATTCAAAAAAACAAAAGGAAGAAGAAGAAACAGCTTTCTATGAGCTTCCCATGAAGTCGATGAGCTCAAATTATTTGCTGCGAGAAAAGAACTCAGTGCTGTGTTACAAATCGAGTCATTTTGACCGCATGACTTATTGACTTTCTCCCAGTGCACGACACCATTGGCATGTTGAGGGGGCAGATGCCAGATGAGGAACACTCCTACAGTTAACTTTTCTTCAAAAAATTGTGCAGGTTAGCTGAATTTTCTTCTTCAAAGATCCAAATCATTTTTCTTAGTCCTTGTTTAGCTTGAGACTTGAGATGTGTGGGTCTGATTCAGCTTTTGCGTCGAAATTACAGGGTAGACAGCCTCCCATTGCTACATGGGTCGGTAGATGCGTATCATCAAGGTGCCAAATGGCCAATAGGCAATAGCATCATCAACAATTCACATCTTACATATTACAATAGAGTTTAAAAATAGAACTTCCTCCACGCAAAAAAGATAGAAACAACATCCATTTGGGTATCTCCGCGCATAGATATCTGGAACCTTACTACCTCAGGAGTGTTCTTCATCTGGCCCCCTCTACATGTCAATGGTGTCATGCACTGGGAGAAAGAGTCATGCGGTCAAAATGACAACCAGAAATGGTTGTTTCTGTAAATTCAATACGATCAAGGGAACACGGCATAAATGCTTGAAATCTTCTGGTAAACTATCAATTTAGGGTGTATTTAGTTCACGCTAAAATTAAAAGTTAGGTTGAAATTGGAACGATGTGACGGAAAAGTTAGAAGTTTTGATGTGATGGAAAAGTTGGAAGTTTGAAGAAAAAGTTTGGAACTAAAGTCGGCCTTATTGTTTTCGTATGACGCACTATCAATTTGTTTGACATGTCTAATGTCTTCGAGAAAAATAGTTTGACATGTCAGTAGAGTGATGTACACAGGCATGCAAAGGAAGCAAATCACATAAATCACACTAACTATTTTCAACACAATGAAAAATGATAAGCGGAGAAGACTACTGTTAGTGTTATTGTTACTTTAAATATGGTATATATAGCATGTGTTCCTGATGAAGGAAATCACAAACATGCAAAAATCGTCATGAACAACAAAGAAATGTGAGAGCTGAAAAGGCATCACAGTGTTAACTGGAGAAATGAGCTGAGCTAATTCAAGAATAAAGGTGATAACCACAGCACTGAAAACAAGGCCAACAAATAAAAATGGGATGGCACATTATGGTAGAATGCGCGCACAAACTGGAAATCAGTGGGCAGTGATCCTCACAATGCTAGAAGCTCCCCCACAAAAAAGTGACAGCAGCATTTGAGCATCTATAACAAGAACAGATTTATATCGAGAAGAACTATAGGAACAAGCTGAACAAGCTAACTAATAAGCAACCAATCTGCATGAAGTTTTAATTTTAGACACAATTATTGAACAGCCCCAAGATGTGTAATGTCACAGTTGCAGGAACCAATCATCTACAATATGTATATGTTAGCTAACGACATTTGCTCATATTCGCTTATCTCGGGGCAAAAGATGATACTTTGAAACAACTGTCTGTCACTTGTACACGGGCAGGATCGCAGTAATGATACATATCAACTTCTAAGTGTCTTGGCATCATTTGCAGGATGGACTTCAATGTTCAGAAGCTCAAGAGATATTGATTCCAACGAGGAAATGATAAATAGTTGAATCTACTCTAAAAATATGATAGTAGGAAATATGGAGTGATTTAATCCAGAGCTGAAGCTTGAGCATGTTCAGAATTTTCACTTCGAGTTAAGGGTGATTGACCTGACAGTAGCTTTTCTCTACTGCCATGATTAACAATTTAACAGACAGCATAATTTCACTTCAACACTACACCGCCATTGCACAATTCTCACCATTATGATTGCGCCAATATACAAAATCTACATTGGCAATTTAGCGCGTGGAACATCGATATCAATACAAGATGGAATGTGAACTAACAGATCCACATACAGAAATCTCATAGTATGAAACAACAAACCATTGTAAATATCAAAGGTGGTACACAAGATTAGGGTGAGAAAAAAAGGGGAGTCCTAAAATTACCTAGTGTCACGCAATGGACACCTTGGCGCCGACCTCCTCGAGCTGCTTCTTGGCATCCTCGGCCTCGTCCTTGCTGACACCCTCCTTGACCTTCTTGGGGAGGCCCTCGATGAGGTCCTTGGCCTCCTTGAGGGCCAGGTTGGTGAGCGCGCGCACCACCTTGATGCTGGCGATGCGCGCGCTGCTGGGAACCTCCTCGATGACCACGTCGAACTCCGTCTTCTCGGCGGGGGCCTCGTCGGCGGCGGCGCCCGCGCCGCCCGCGCCGGGCGCGGCGACGACGGCGGCGGGCGCGAAGGCGGCGGCGGAGACGCCGAGGCGCTCCTGGAGGTGGTCCACGAGGCCCCGCGCCTCCTCGAGGGTGAGCCCCGCGATGGCGTCCCCGAGCTCCAGGACCTTGGGGGACTCGGTGGCGGTGGACGCCACCACGGCGACGGCGCGGCGTGGGCGGGCGCGGCTGGGGACGGCGAAGGACCTTGGGGCGGCGGCGGCGGCGGCGGCGGGGGAGGAGGAGGAGGGGAGGGAGAGGAGGGAGAAGGCGGAGGAGAGCGCGGTGGAAGCCATGGGGATGGGGGGAGTGAGCTCTCGCTTCCGGAGTTGAGGTGAGCTGCGGGAGGAGGAAGCGAGGAGACGGGGGGATAAGATGAGGCACCGCTGGGATAAGACGGCACGCTATATAGTGCGCCGCGAGTGGCTAATACGCATTTTTTTCGTTGCGATGCCTAATCAAATTGTGCGAACTAGGAGTGCTGACTACTTGGAAGTTAAAAGAGGGATATAATACATGAGAGCAGTCCCAAACCATAGCGTTTAAAGGTAGTGTATATGGTACCATGTCAATAAGACATCACAATAAAAATTACACTCCATAACTTATGGTTTCTTAAAGTGGACCATTAATAAATACATCATCTCTCTTCTCTACCAATCATATTTATTCTTTATCTATTATGAAGAAACTATTCTCCCCCAATGCAAAACTTGATAGTGTCTACTGCATAGGTTCTCGTGTTGAAGCTGTGTCTTGTATGAGACCCAATTTCTTCCTCTCTTCACTCTCTCTCTTAATTAATATAGTGCCACATAAGATAAAAGTCCAACATGACAATGTAGTTAATGCTATAGACAATATCCTAGGTGGAGGGTTGGGACTGCCATGATAAAACATATCCCTGCTTTACAAATTAATCATCATATAAGTTTATACACCAAGACCAAGGACAATTTAAATCATATCAATAAAGACATCATAGACACATTCTCCCACGATGCATACATCGATTAAAACCTTTCGTTATAAAATATACTCCCTCCATTCCAAAATATAAGGCATAACCACATTTAACCCAAAGACCAAGAAACAATTATTATCACCTCTTTGTTTGAATCAATCCAACTAATACAATATATGCACCCAATAGAATTAAACATCTTGTGAGTGTATGATTTAAAAAATAATAATGTAAGATAGAAGATATGATAATTAATTGCCATGCATGCATGCAGGCCTTATATTATGAAGGAAAAAGTACGAATTACCCTCCGAACTACTGTGACAGTATGAATTACCCCTCCCCCCGGAACCACAAAACTAGACATATTACACCTCGAACTATTGATACCAGATGAATTAACCCCCCCCCCCCCGAATCATTCCTAAGCGGTTTTTCTCCTACATGGCATACACATGTCGCTGACGTGGAAATTCAATCAACAAAAAAATAAAAGAAAATATAGGGCCCACCTGTCATTATCTCTCTTCCCCCTCTCCTTCTCTCTCTCAGGCGTGTGTCGACGGGCAGTGGGCAGCGGCAGTGGCGTGTGGACGGGTGGTCGGCGTGCGGGAGGCGACGGCAGAGCGCAGGAATGGCACAGCAGGCAACGGGTGGCGCCGAGGAGGGCATTGGAGGATGCGGCCTACGTAGTCATCGTCGTCCCTCTCTCTCTCTAGGCTCAGGCAAGCGGCGGGCGACGAGTCCTCCCCTGGGAGGGCGCGGCGGGCACCGCGCGCGACGGACGTGGTGGGGAGGGCGAGACGGGCGGCGTGCAGCGCCGAGGACATTGGAGACGGTGGTCGTCTCTCTCTCTCCCTCGTTCTCTCTCTCTCTCTGGTGCCGTCGGGAGAGCCAAGCAAGGAGAGGGCGGCGGATACTGACCGGCGGCCTCCAAAGAGGGGCGGATGAGGTTGGAGGTTGAAGACGACGACTGCGAGCTCGGGCGCGGTGGCGGCGATGGCGGTGGCCACGGCCATGTCGACCCGCCGCCGTGCGCGCCGACCTCCCGATGGCCCGAGCGAGAGGGGTGAGAGAGAGAGAGACCGACGGCCCTAGGTTGAAGACGACGACGAGGAGCTCGGGCGCGGTGGCGGCGATGGCGGTGGCCACGGCCATGTCGACCCGCCGCCGTGCGCGCCGACCTCCCGACGGCCCGAGAGAGAGGGGTGGCCGCCGGGGGCTTGGAGCGGAAGGGCAGAGACGACCTCCGCCTCCACCCTCGCCACTTCGCCGCACTCCGCCGCGACAGGGGGGGCACGGCAACACGGGGGCAGCGGGGCGGCGCGGCAGCAGGGGGGCACGGGCGCCGTCACGCCTGCCACCCGCTTCTCCACCACGCCCGCCGCGCCCCCGCCACGCCCGCCGCCTGCCCCTCCCCCACCACGCCCCGCCGCACCCCGCCACGCCCGCCACCCGCCGCGCGCCCATCACCGGCCACCAATGACATCTGAGACAGTGACAGTGAGAGATTGAGAGAAGAGGGGAAGAGAGATGTGTGGGAGTATGACAGGTGGACCCCACCTTTTTAAAAAAAAATTGCTGACTGGATTGCCACGTGGACGTCACGTAGGACGATACCACTTTGGATTGGGTTGAGGGGGGTTACTCGTCCGGTATAGATAGTTCAGGGTATAAAATGTCTGGTTTCGTGGTTAAGGGGGGTAATTTATACTGTCGTCATAGTTCGGGGGGGTAATTCGTACTTTTTCCTATTATGAAATATTTTTAAAAAGTAGTTGTGACCTATATTTTGGAATGGAGGGAGTAATACCTTTTGTTACAAAATATATATGAACAAGAATACGTAGTGATATTTGTATTTTAGAACAGATGAAGTGCATCCAACAATCTCCGATCAACGAAATAAGGCACCAGCAAAACAGATTTTGGTACTAACTGGAGTTCAGGGGAAGAAGATTATCACCGAGACAACGTTATGTTGTAGGCAATAATATTAAACCGCTTGATTCAATCTGATGGAGCTGGGTGTTAGGAAACGATACGCAAATAAACAATAAAAAATAATATATAAATTACGGAAGATACGAGATTTAACGTGGAAAACCCTCCTAAAATAGAAGAGAAAAAACCACGGGTGCCAGCCAGTAAAATATCTTCAATATTGGGGTGAGGTTACAACACCGAACGGCGGCTTACAATAAGTATATTTGAAGGTGTAACCTAAAAGGATAACGATCCGTACCTAGTGTCCGTGCACTACCATAAATCTTTTAAGTAGAAACTTTCAAATGTAACTATAATAATTATCATATGGTTTTATTATAACTCTACTATAGCTTATAGCTACAATATAAGTTGTATATAAGTATAGAAAATATATGCAACTTTCTATACCTAAATTATAATTATATAGATGTTATAACGTAGTTATAATTATTGTTACTCACTGTAACTATTATAATTGTAATGTAACTTATATATAAATAGAGTAGCACGAATCCTGGCCAACATTGTATGGCCGAAAATTCAGACGCCAGGAAAGAAAAAAAACTGCCACAAGTTTTCTAGCAATTCTGATCTAAAATGCTACTAGTCATGCATGTAGGATGCATGAGCCCCTTTAGACTAGGTTTGGTGCATTCCGCACAGAGCCATCAGTGCTACTGATAGAAATGTGGCCGTCACCGTGCGTGCCAATCGCCTTGCTGTGCTTGTTCTTGCCATCCTTGCAGCAGTACTTCCAGTTGAAGTTGAGAACCAAGCATGCCACTAACAACAGGCCAACGGCCACCATGACGATCACTAGTATGACCTCCTCCTTGTGGTTCATGTCCTCTACACCCTTCAACTCCAGATTCAGCAGCTGCATATATATATATATGAGATGTTGTTAAAAAAAAAGATCGGTAAAACATAGTTTTGTCACGTGAACTGAAACACCAGGTTTTTGGATGCGAAAAAAAAAACACACATAAAGAAGAGTCCGTCGTATACATACCTAGAGAGATGAGCAGAGAGGAGCGGAGGATCTTGGAGCGCTGTGAGAGGAATCGCATGTCCAATCTCTGCTCATATATAAGGGCGTCAAGAACGTTTTCCAAATGTGAGAGGTTTCCTTATAGGAGAGCCCGCGAGTGCGATACAAGGAAGAACACATCGCGATCTCGCATTTGCTGCCATCTATCAGTGCCATGCGATACGATCCCCTCATAAAACCTGTGGATCTTCTTCCAGGTGAAGCGTGGAGAGCGAACTTCAAATGTGGAAGCGTTGATTCGGCGAATCTATGCTTACAACAAATACAGAAGTTTTTCCCCCGGAACGACAACTGTGTAGCGGGTAACGCTTGGTACTAGCGCGCCATGGGCCGTGTGGCTCAGGGGCTGACGGACTCATGCGGCCTGCGCTGTTGCGTATGCAACAAATCCAATTTGGGTTCCTCAATCGATATGTGTCCAACCTTACCGTATCCCTCAACTGCAATACTAATATCTTTGACCACTTAACTATGAAAGCTAGTCCTACCAAGCGAATCAGCATGCGGAGCTCACATGTCAGTGACCCCATCTCTAGGGGTGGATATCGAGCTGGCTCGGCTCGGCTTGGCTCGTTAGGATAACGAGCCGAGCTTAGAAACCTAGCTCGGCTCGGCTCGTCAACAGGCTCGAGCCAGCTCGTTAAGCTCGCGAGCTAGGGGCAAGAGACGTAGTCGGCGAGCACAAGGAGGAGGGGAGGAGCTTGACGGAGGAGGAAACGAGCTCAATTGAGCTCGCCGGCGACCACATGGACATGGAGGAGCTCGATGGTGGAGGGGATGAACTCGACGCAGCTCCGCCGACACTTGGAGGAGACGAGCTCGAGCCCGCCGGTAGCGTCGGGCGCTGGGGGCGGACGCCGGCGGCAGCGGCGCTGGATCGCTGGGGGAGAGGCGGAGATCAGCGGTGATGGGCGCTCGATCTCCCGGCGGCGGCGGGCATAGGGGATAGGCGGAGACCGACGGCGGCGGGCGCTCGATCTCCCGTTGGCGGCGGGCGCTGGCGAGGGAGAGGAGGAGACCGGCAACGGCGGGCGCTGGTGGGGGAGAGGCGGAGACCGGCGGCGGCAGGTGCTCAATCTCCCAGCGGCGGCGACGGCAGGGGAGAGGCGGAGCGGCGTGTAACATACCAAAAATTAACCATTTTCTAATTCTGCATTATGCTGAGTCTTATGTTCTTAATAACTTCCTAAACCTAGGAAAATATAATTAGAGGGACTTTCTAAAACTAACTTGCATAAAATCTCTTTCTGGTATTTAACTTCTTTTGTGTTTTTCATTTAAAAATTAAAATACATGTGGTTGAATTGATGTATTTCCTGATTTGGTTTAAAACCTTCTTTTGACTAAAATTCCTTTATTCAAAATTAGTTTGAAAACCCTTTCTATTTTTTTATGGATTATGGTCCAAGAAACCTTCCCAATTTTACCCTTGAACCTAAACCAAAGTAATTCCAATTTTATTGGAATTAATTGTTAGCCCATTCTTTGATCTTAAACCGATCCTTTGATTCTTGATCCAAATTCTTCCTTTTGATCTAGCCACTGATTTAATTCCCGTGGCTTGATTTCCTTCTCAGCACAAGAATAATATTATTACAAATATTGTAAATAATTGCTCTTATACTAAGATAATAAGATTATATCCTTGTCATCCAAATATCCTATTAGCCTCAGACAATTCTTTGAAACCCATGCCATATATTTTGAGTCTAAAAATCCTATTTATCTTCCTCCATTTATTTCCTCTCCTCATTTCATTTGAGTGCATCAAATAAATTCCGTTATATTCAATCTCTCAAAATATTGCACTCAAACTAGAAAATATCTCTTTCGGAAATTATATCCAAATATAATTTCCTTTCAAAATTCCTTATTCAAATTATCTCCAAATATATTTTGCTTTCAAAATCTTCTATTCAAATTCCTTCCAAATACAAATTCTCCTCTAAATCAAATTATTCAGCCCCTAGGAAAAATTAGACTTTCTTCCTTCTACGTTTGGGCCGAATTCTCCTTTTCCTCCTTTTCCTTTTCTCAGTCCAAGCCGGCCCAACACCCAGCCGAGCCGCCAATTCGCGCCGCCGCTCACGCCCGTGCCGTGTTCGTCCTCCTCCGCCGCTGCCGTGCCTTGCCCTCCTCCTCCGCCGTTTTCTCCTTCTCTAAGCTACCGCCGCCGCCATATTGCCTTCGACGCCAAGGATCCCCTGCCCAACATCAGCCGCACATCATCTCGCTAACGTCATCCTTTGTGCCGAACCGACACTATCGTCCAATGGGAAGAAAGAGTCGGCGCCGTCGTCCTCTTCTCCACGCCGCCGTCGCCATGTCCTTCTTCTCCTCCTCTTCTTCGAACCGACCTCTCGCCGCCTATAAATAGACGGCGAGGTCCCCTCTTTTTCACACATCATCATAGCTTGAAGCTCTTCCTCTCTCTCCTCCCATGGCCGATCGTCGACGCCGTCGGTCGATCTCCCCATCCGTAGCTCCTCTTCCCCTCTCCTCGCACCACCGGCTTCGCCTCCATCCGGCGAGTCCATTTTTCCCCTTTCCCCTCTCCCTCCACCTCTAAGTCAAGTCACCACCACCATCATCCATGCCGACTCATGGTGAGCCCTTGCCGCCGCTGTTCCGGCCATCTCCCTCACTCCCTCCACCTGCCACTACCCTCACCGGGTGCGCGTCGTCCGGGAACACGTGTGTCCGCCGGCGTCGCAACCTCTCGACCACCGGAGCACCGGCGCCCAACCTCTCTCTCCTCTGTGTTCTCGGCAGAAAGAAGAAGGAAAGAAGAAGACGGGAGAAGGAGAGAGAAAGAGAAAAGAAAAAGAAAAGGAGAACGGAGTGACAGGTGGGCCCTTCTACAGTACAATTTCGTATTTTCTAGATTTAATTCAAATCTAATCTTTAGAAGCCCATATCTCCTACACCATAGATCCGATTCCAGTCAAACTTGGACCTAAATTCATCTAAATTCAAAAGCTACATTTTGATATCAAATTTGCTATTTTACTATTTTATTTGAAATTCCTTCATGCCATTTGAATTTATATTTGACTTTCGAATATTTCCTTTTTACTCCAAAATAGCCTTTAGCCACTAAAAAGCCGCCGGTTGAAACTTTACGCCTTCCATGGGGACGTTCGCGCGGTCTACTGGCCCCGACGTCGAACCGTTGGTTGTAAAGCCCGGCAGAACCCAAACCCAAGGTCAAAGTGCTGCTCCTGGCACCCTACGCCTCGACGCGTATAACAGTCGGAGCTTCACTATTCCCTCGACCTTCACAGCACGCCGCATAGTTAGCTCTCGAGCTCTGTGTGATCCTAGCCGCTCCACCGCCACCCACGGTTGTTGGAGTAACACTCCACCCCCACCAAACCTATACCAACCTCCTATTCCTCTAGCCGATATGTTGTCGGTCGACACCGGCTAGAGAAAGGTATCAAATCTACTCGTTATGCTCTAGCATCGACTAGCATACAACCAACCAAACCCTAGCCGATATGTTGCCCTACTTCACAATCGGCTTAAATACCACCAAACCCTAGGTATCATACTGCCCAAACCTACCACCAGCCAATACTAGCCACATACTCACTTAACCAGTTATATCCTTTATTCTCCAAGCAACCAAAACCCACACATGAAATATAAGCGCCAGTAGTTGCTTAATCCCTTCTAGCCTCCAACTCTCTAGAATATCCGCATAAAATATCAGCACCGTAATCCATATACCCTATAAAATAAAATAGATAGACTATATCCTAAACCCTAGCCCTCCTAACTGTTTATCTCTTTCTTGCTATTATATGGATTTTATTGAAATTGGTTCTTCATCTTTCTTAGTAGAGTCTATTTTATTTTGGATGGCAACCTGTGATATTTCGAGGATTGGATAATAAGGTTGCTTATCTCGGATTTATTTGCGTTGGAGCAAGGCAAGTTATTATTCCTCCCCTTGAGCATAATTACCCTATATTCTATATCTCTTTTCTATGCATTAGTCATTCATGATTTTGAATGCATAACCTGAACATATAGCAAACCAGATATGCTAGCTTTTGCTTAGCCCTGCCTAGTTAGGCTGCATAAAAATATAATGAACCTAGATTGGGACAGTACGTAAGATTTGGTTGATTTCTGGGTGGCTAGTACTGTCCCGGTCGATATAATTGCCACCAAATACTTATGTCAAACGAACGAGTATGACCACAGCTTCTTGAATGGGGACAGACCTAGATATTATGTTAATTAGCAATGTGGTACCTCTGTACAGTGGTTCCTTTTGTAAGTCCTCGCGCAAGAGGCAATCTTATGCCGAGCAGGGCATCTTATGATATTTACCGAGGCGCAGGTAAATATATTGATTTTCGCTCATGAGCTGTGTGTGTGATTTTATGTAAACCTGGTTGAGATGACGGGGGTCTCTCAACCCGTTCTCTCTAAAAACCCCGGGAACGCCAGAACTCCTCTCGCTGCTGATAACGTTACGTTCAGAGCGCATAGGGACTAGAGTTCATGGAACAGGTGCCACAATTGTTAATAACCTAATAGTGGGCCATGACTAAGCTAATGAATATTGGCAAGTCATGGACTGCCGGTAAAGCGTACATTTACTGCAGTAAAGTGAAAATGAATCTATTCGAATAGCCGTGCTCACGGATTTGAGTATCGGGACTCATATGGTATTTGGTTAGAAACCTAATTCAAGATTTTATTAAATACTGATGCATTTCAAACATCATAGGCTTTCTTCTTCTACATTATCTGCTTTCTGCAAGTAAATCTAGTCCTACTCAAATACTGCTATTTCATACATTCATATTGAATATAATAGCTTGCTGAGTACATTGTACTCACCCTTGCTTCAACCCCATCTTTTTCAGAGTCCATTTGGAGTTCTTATCGAGGCCGGGAGTTCAATCACATAAGTTAGTTCCCTTTTAACTTAATCTTCAAGTCTAGGTTATTTAGATGGTTTAAGTCTATAGTAAAACAGCAGAGTTAGGTCATTCTAAAGCTTCTGCTGTAATAGTTAGCCACAATCTCGTAAATACCCTATTACTTTATGTAATAATATCTCCTTCAAAGCTATGTCTAAACGTATGCAAAGACGATCCAGATTGTTGAAGCTGTATCAACTTATTGATCCAGGGCTTGATACAGTCTAAACATGTCGGTTACCGAATCATTAGTTTTGGGACCCGACACGGCGACGGCGGGGGGAAAGGCGCGGCGGCGACGGCGGCTAGGGGAGAGTGGGGAATTGAGTGAGGACTAAGGTTTGCAATGTCTTGGGCTTGGGCCATTTTGTTGTATTGGGCTTTTGGGCTGTGATGGAGTCTAGCTCATTAAGGCTCGCGAGCCAGCTCGAGCTGGCTCGTTATCTCTAACGAGCTAAACTGCCAGCTCGGCTCGTTAGAAAATTCAAACGAGCCGAGCCGAGCCTGTCACGAGCCGAGCGAGCTAACGAGCCACGAGCTTTCTGTCCACCCCTACCCATCTCTCTACTCTATCCTCTAAGTGCCGGGGAGGAATAGGGTTGTTGCTTGGTCATCGCCTCCCGCACTAGTCATTGTTGCTCGCTGCTCGCCACCGCTGCCCACTTCCTAATGGACCCAAAGCTCGCTGCCAGCGGCTTCTTCGACCGCTACCATGGCGGGGGTAGAGGGGAGAGGAGGAAGCATCAATGACAAAAGATTGCTGACCATGCCGCCTGGATCCACTTGCCAGCCTTAAAGCTCGTCGCCTGCATCCTCCTCGGCTACCGCTGTGGACCAAGAAGAGGGAAGAGGAGGCAATGTTGAACCATTAGAGACATAAGCTCGCTGGCCACGCTGCTTAGATCCGCTCGTAGACTCCTTGGCAGCCACCATGGCTCAGGAAGAGAGAAGGCGACCACTAAGCAGTAGCCATAGAAGCTTGGTGGCATGCCACCTAGATCCGCTTGCGGCCCCGAAGCTCGCGCCTGTGGCCTTCTCGGCCACTGCCATGGGGTGCGAGGCGGGGAGATGAGGTGATGATGAAGCATTAATGATAGAAGCTCGCCGGCCACACCACCTAGATCTTCTCGCCGGCCTCGAAGCTCATCGCCTACAGTCTTCTTGGGCACCACCATGGAGCGAGAAGCACCCGTTCTCAACTTCTCATTGATGAAGATGCATAGGGAGAGAGAGAAGAAAGAGAAGAAAGAGAGAGTGAGAAATAAGAGGAGAGTCATTGACAAGTGTCATAACTAGGTCAATGAGCCACATCAGCGAAAACTATCCTCAAAACATCATCTATATAGTTATTTTGTACCAGTTTTAAACTTTTAATAGTTAGAAAAATCAGTGATATTTGTGATGGGGAGATATGAATTTAATTTGGGAAACTATAATTTGATGAGAAAGTCAATGCGTTACTTATTTCGTTGCGTATTTCGCGGAAGGGATACGGGCCAGAGGCCACATCACAGCACCGTGGGGCGGGTGCGCTATCAGCGAGTGGGCGTGGCCGACGTGATCCAGCCCAGTATTCGAGCCGCACACGGAGCGCGAGAGAAAACAAGACGGACGAGGCCGCCTGCCTGCCGCCCGCGCCGAGCGCCACGCGAGGGGCAGATCTGGCCGCCCGATCGACCGCTATCCGGCCGCGGAACAGTGGAGCTTGTGACGGTGATCCCCGCGGCGCATTCCGTGGCTATATATCCACTTGCGCAATGTCAGTGCGGGCGTACGGTACGTCGGCGGTATCTCGTCCGCGGCAGCTGCAATATTCTCGGAACGACCAAGGCCAACGGCGCTTTTTTACTGCCAAACGGGCTGCAGTCTTCTTTCCCGTCGAGAATCCTCAAGGCTCAAGCCAGTGTCCGTGTCTTGGTGTACGTACGAGCCCTACACAGCGACGCGATGCGATATTGCGATGCTGCATTTATTGATTACTACTTACTCCCTCCGTCCCATAAAAAACCAACATAGTACCAATGTGACATATTCTAATATTACGAATCTAGACATACGTCTGTTCAGATTTATAGTACTATAATGTATCACACATTCGATATTTCGTTTCTTATGAAACGGATGGAGTATTACTAACTGTTGCAGCTTCGCTCTCACTGGTGGAGAAGGGGTTTTTACTCCCGGTTCGTAACCCCCATGTACTACGAATCCGGGACTAAAAATGTTTTTAGTCCCAGTTTTTAATATAACCGGGACTATTGTGAAATCTGGTCGACCGACCAAAGATGGTTTCTCCACCGGTGTCTCAAAGAGAAAAACGAAAAATTGCATCTTCATTCAGGGGGAGTAGCTCGCTGTGATGTCTCTTTCAGGCCAAAATTATTCAAGTAGGCAACAGAGATTAAACAACGGATCCATCATCCATCCCCTGCCGCCATTACGCAGTTTGGTTCAGCTGGTACACTCTTAAAAATCTAAACGGACAACACCCTCCAGGTGGAGTTGGTGCACGTACGTACGTGCCTGTTGTCTCCTGTTGTGACTTGTGTCTCCTCATCATTTAGTTCTAACATCGTACATCATCATGGCAACTGATACGGATTAGTCACAGTTTATTCTTTCGAGCCAGCTGGGTTAGCTGGTCGCTACTTAAGGTCTGAAGGAGGAGGGGACGCCTAGTTTATTCACCTGCCTTTGGTCCTTTCCATTTTGATAAGGTATATCCCACTTGTAATCTAATCTAGTCCTGATGCTATTATTGAAAACTCATCCTTAATTTGATTCCCTTTGTCCAGTCATTTTTCTTTTCTTTTTTGTCGTCCACGTATGCCTATCGTGTAATGCTGTGTATATATGTCGTCGAACAATAATCTCGACGCTGATTGCTGATCTAACTGACCAATGAACTAATAAATAATAACTTGTGAGAGAGAGCAATGAATTAACTAATTCTTGCAATAGATATTCTTATCTGGTTTTTGAAACCACGCAAGCAAAAATAATTTATTTGCATCCTGTTTTACAATTGAACACAATGCGCTACACGGAACTGCAAAAAGTATGCTGTTGAAAAATTATTTAGTGCATACTATTGCCTCTAATCGGGGGCGGATCCAGGAAAAAAAATTAAGGGGTTCAGTTATACGGTATCTTCAATCTCCAGCTATTTAAGGACTTTAGTTTATCATTTATGGTGAAAAAATCGAAGGAGGTGCTCCAGAGGTATCCATGGGTCTTGAGGGTGTAGGGGGGACTTGAGTCCCCCTGCACCCACGTTGGATCCGCCCCTGCCTCTAATAAAATATCTGGCAAACATGCACACAAATCGCAACTCTTTGTTTTTTCAAGTGAAAGAGACAAATGGGCATATCAATATATTTCTTATAATTGTTTTATTCAGTATTTTAGTGGAAGAATAATATACCTATATGTCAGCTTGCCGTCTGCTTAATTTACAAATATATATTTTTTAAAAAAGTGGCTATTCCCGGAATATAAGGGATAAGATGGTTTCCTGAAAGGCCATATGACTTCTGCAAACATTAAAAAAAATTATGAACAGGATAGGTATATTAATCAGTTGCTGCGAAATGGCAAAGCTGACTTTGTAAATTTTGTTCAGGAAAGTGTTCGGTGACAAATTATTTAAGAGAACTGACTAAAGTTTGTAGTTTATGGGGTGATTTGAACTATCGCAATAGTTAAATGGGTAATTCAAACTTTTTACTCATAAAGTAGAAGCATGATCAAACTCTCAACTCTAGATAACTGACATAAATATATACCGGGGTCCATTCTAACTTCAGTCTTCAAGGACGTGATACTAAACTGTAAAACTAGACTTTGGTTGGTAATTGATCCTTCATTGCCAGTTTGGCACAGCTCAAATCAAAGAAATTACAAGTTACAAATGCAACTGACAGAAATACTGCAGTAGAGACTGTAGAGTCGTAGTGATGCAGAATATAACAAGATAGAGGCTGTGATTAGATCAGAGGTGTAAAGTTTTAGCGTATCATATCGGATATGCCGGTACATAATGAAAGCATTAAACTAGACTAATAAAAAAACTAATTACAGAATCTATCAGTAAACCACAAGACAAATTTATTAAACCTAATTAATCTGTCATTAGCAAACCACATTGTTAAATTTTTTTAGCATATATTTAATATTTTATGCATATATCCAAACATTCAATGTGACCTGATGTAAAGTTTTGTCAGGGATCTAAATAGGGCCAAAGTAACAACGCAGTAATGCACGGCATATGCACATCGATCACACAGTGTTCACATTTCACAAGCACCCCCATATAGCTAGCCAAGGTCACATGGCGATGCAGGAGAACCGCGAGCAGATGAGTAGCGCGGTTCACATCACCTGCACTGTAGTTCACAGTGCGGCTATAGCGGCCAGCCCAGCG